ATTGTGAATGTGATCACCACTTGTATTAAAGTATTATTTCACACCATATTATTCTATCTGTTCCTCGCATTCGCGCCGATTCTGTTAGACATTGAGCCAAATTCTTTTAAGTAAGTGTTCAAACACTGCAAACTTGTTGATTGTTTGTCAATTCAATTCGTATTCAATTCGCAAGCATTACATTACCGGAAACATTTGACGGCCCGCTCACAGCCAATAATAAACTTTCCGAAGCCGACCACTTGTTTGTCAATGAAATTGTAGGACCAGAGTCTTTGGCCGTATGGAAAGGTATTTAAAATGTCAATATTTTATATTTCTTATTTTATAATATTTAGATTCTCGGAGAAAGTTAAGAATATTGTTTCATTATATTTTGAAAATGTTTTAAAATATGCTTAATATGAATTGAAATCTTAGGCGATGTCTATACGGGTGTATCCGACGGACGAATCATTCGCATCAGAAAAGATAGGTATAAAACTGTAGCTCAATTCGGAAACCCAGAGAAATGCGCGAATCCATGGGAAATGGGAAAATGCGGCCGACCTTTAGGTTTGCATTTTATGTATTTTAATCTTATTTATTAAATAATTAATTTGAAATTTGATTATTAATTATTATGAATATAATTATGAATATATGGAAAAGGAATGAGATTTGATTCAAAAGGCACGCTATATGTTGCCGACGCTTACTATGGGTTGCATACCGTGAATGTGACCTCAGGTAAAGTTAAGAGAATATTGACGTCTAAGCGACCGATCGCTGATTTGCGACCAAAATTCTTGGATGACTTAGTCATCAATGAAGAAGAAAATGCTATCTATTTTACCGATGCGAGCAAACGATGGGATTTAGAGAATGGTTTGTAGTGTTTTTTTTATTAGTTTCAAACTTTTAAGTCGTTACACAATATAGTTTTTAAAATGAAAGTATTGGCATTTTCTATGAATTAATGAAATAGTGTTTTATACGGTCGGAGAGCACGACGAGAGCGGAAGAGTTATTAGGTTTGACTTAAAGACTAAAAATTCGACGGTTATTATGAAATCTCTTGGATTTCCGAACGGAATTGAATTAAACGACGACAAGACAGCGCTTCTCGTCTGCGAATTCAATAACAGAAGAATTATGAAACACTTCATCGATGGCGACCGAAGGGGACAAACCGATATCTTTTCATTCAACCTTCCGGGAGAACCCGATAAGTAGTTTATAAATACATATTCTATTTGATCCTTATTTTCAAATGAATCTTTTTTTATGGTTTAAAAAGTATCCGAAGAAGTAGTGATCCGTTTCGGGAGACCTATTGGGTGGCACTGGCTATGGGTCGCAACGAGAAGAACCCGTCGTTTGCGATCGACGTATTGAGCCGTTGGCCCAAAACACGGAAAGCATTGCTCCGAGCGTTGCATACAGTGGGCATTGGTTTGGAATTTATGGGCAAAATAATCAATTTCAGGCCTTTAATTGAATTGGGATTCAAAACCAAAACCGGTTCTCTTATATTCCACACAATCACTCACTACGGACTGGCCGTCGAGTTGGACTCCGAGGGCAAGATTATACAGTCGTTACACTCGCCCGACGGGAAGACAACACTACTGTCCGAAGTGCGGGAAGTGATTGTCGGCGACCGGAAAGTGTTGTATTTGGGATCGTATGGCAATAACTTCATCGGCAAAGTAACATTGGGTCGACTCAAACAACTCCATCGACCGCTTCTCACACACGAGAAGAAGAAACTCATCGATCATAAGGAGAAATCATCGAAGAAATCAAAGCCTAAAAAGTATAAACCATACGAAGCTTTCGATCTGCAAAATCCACATTTTGGACAATCAAAGAATGAAAACCCAGATCTCGGATACGATTTCCCACCAAAACCGCCGAAAAGCAAAAAATCAAAGTCTAAAACATCAAAGACTAAGAAGAAAAGCAAAACTTCTCCAAAAACCAAAACTTCTTCTAAAACCAAAACATCTAAAACTTCAAAATCGAAAACTTCTCAAAAGTCAACCGAAAAACCAAAACCTGAGAAATAAAACAATTAATAATAATGTTAATGGACCATGGTCTCTAACGTTGATATTATATTATGGTCATAACATTTTAATAATAATCAATCAAATTAAATTATATGTTTAAGAAATTATTATACCATGATGAATTTACAAATAACCAAATAAGTTAATTATCATTGTTTACGTAATTGATAATGTATCAATTTATGATTCTTGTGAATTGTATTCACCATGGGCATTTCTAACATTATCAAAGGGTATACTTCTTTGTAAACAAATAAAATCATTTAATTAAATCTCACATTAAATGAAATTTTCTAGTACTGTATGCTTACAAATATTTAAATAGTCTCAACAATGTAAGCAAGCAAATCCAAGCAGGATTTAGCCACAATTCTGGGTAAGTATTTAGTAAATATAACTCTAACGAGTAAGATCTAAGTGCAGTACAAGAATTTTGGCTTCAGTTTACCATAGACTATGGTCCATAGTACATACTCTATAGTATAGAGTCTATACGTATATTATTATCTAATGAGGCGTTCAATTAATCTTGCGCATNAGTGTTTGAACACTTACTTAAAAGAATTTGGCTCAATGTCTAACAGAATCGGCGCGAATGCGAGGAACAGATAGAATAATATGGTGTGAAATAATACTTTAATACAAGTGGTGATCACATTCACAATTTCGACCATAACTGATGGTTAATCGCGAGAATGAAAGCCCGAAAAGTAAAAGTAATGTCAACTCTGGAAACAATAGATTTGCGGAAATCTCGAAATAGATGACCCGAAAACCAACATTTCTTTTCTATATCTACTACTGATTGCTTTCCTATATCTCTATATCTCTCTAACAGTAATACCAAATAAATACTAAATAATATTAATGTGTTTCGCTTCTTAACAACTGAAAGCAGTGGTGAGAAAAAAGTGGTACTATTAGTACCGGTCCATCATTTCCACTCATATAACTGTTTCGCCTATATTTTCTCATCGACCGCCCATTCCTTATACAATACATACAATTTCTAGCGGTTTGTAGTGATATTTAGTGCAAACTAACATTAAATATAACACAAAAAATAAGTCAATTTTGATAAAACAAAATAAATTGAAATTATAATAAAATACCTGTTGTTAGGAAAACAAGACTTTGGAAAATCAATAAATCATTTCGAGACAATCAAAGAAACACTGAAAACAATGCATATAACATATAAATGCATATTAAAAGTTTTTTATTCATTTTAGTTATTGTATGTAATAATAAGATTCGTGTTTAATATGCTTTTTATTATTTAGATGCAAAAGTAAACACAGAAATAAACTAAACCCGAGTTTAGTCTTATATAAAAGATTTTAAATAACATTAAAACTTATGCAATTCATTACAAAAAATAGCTTGTCTTTAAAATTATATTCATTATTTGCAACTCATTTGCTAAATATAAATATATTGTAATTAATTTGTTAACTAATTAGCGATAAAAATTTAAATCTTAATCGCAATTTTAGATTAGATTGTAATAGATTTCGATTTTTAAAAATTTTAATGCAATATCTTTTAGTAATTTTATTTTTTTTCTCTAAAAATATTTTACATCAAATTAAATATGTTGTAACACTAACTCTGTTAAAAATGGTAATATTGCTATAATTATATACTAATCGATGAAATTTTATACAAAATTCAAATAAATAGTGAATAATTGAGCGCTAGTTTGTGTTGTATTCCAAGACATCCACAGGTTTTACAATTTATTTTATTTTACTATTGTGTGAATTGAGGCCAAACTTTGAAGCGATTTCACGATAACTTCAAATCATGATTAGTTTCAAAATTACACATTTTGTGTACACTATTTACACATTTGAATGACAAAAACATGGCTAAAAATTGCTTAATTCCTGAAATTTAACTCATTTTTATCAATGAATAAACTCTTGATTTTGGTGTACGAAGAATTACTGCAAATAATAAGTTTTTGAAGTGATTATTGAATATACAAATAAGAAGAGAAACACAATATTGAAAGTAATATTTTGAAACATAGTCTGAGAAATGATGTTTACAATCACCGTTT